AAGGAACTCAGACAGAGAGGGGAATAGAACTTAAAAGGCCACAGCTTGGTATCAGAACACCTCCTTTGCATGCAGGAGATCCCGGGTTCTCTCTCTGGCATCTCCACCAGTTCAGAATTCTCACTAGCAGGTTTTGCTTCTGTTTGCTCTGCAGAATTGTTCGCAGCCAGTAGATAACTAGGTGGGTTTGGGCCAGCATAAAAGGAGCTTAGTACGCTTCTGAAGAAAATGCATCCAGTGTTATGAAGGAGACCTGAAGACTAAATTCCGGTGGCTTCCGGTTTTCGGCGACTCGCGAACGAATGAACGCCATCGAGCTCCAATGGGTGCAATTCGGATCGAGGCGGCAGGGGGGGTTCGGACGTCTTCGCCCCCCCCTCACGAAGCTCTTGGAGGGAGCTTCTAGCCTGGAGTGCTGGAGGAGCCGCTCCCGAAGCTGCGGCTGAAGGATCGAGGGTCTTTTTTTGCTCCTTAAGGTCCTGCTGCCCCGAGGACAGCAATGGCACCCAGAGACGTTACCGGACCGGAGCATTCCAGGACTTAAGCAAAGGACTCTCCCGCCTAGGGGATGACATCCAGTGAAAAAAACAGTGAGTTAATGAGTTTCAAAAGAAAGACAAAAATAAAGTGGGTGGAAAAACCGACAGTGAGACGGCAAAACCCCATGGGGGGGGAACTCTCGGGAGGAAGAACCCTACCCTATAGCGCAAAAAGCAGCAAAATGGGAAGCAATCCGTCAACAAGCTGTTAGAAACTCACCCAAACAAAGCGGATTGCAGCGGGGCTCGTTATTCAGTCTAGAGGAAAACCTTAGAACTTTTAAGAACTTTTACCTTAATGTAAAAAATGTTGCAGCGAGGGGGGAAAATGGCATCCACGGGAAGCGTCAGCACAGCATCACCGGTCACAAGACCGGAAACTACCACTTATTTAGCTGGTACGATCTCTGAAGCTTTGCGCCCCCTGCTGGATCAGCTGACGAACCTCAACAAAAAGTTTAATGATTTGCAGGAGTTGAAGGAGACCAAAGATAAATCAAAGAAGATGGTCAAAAAGCTAATACAGGTTGAAACTAAGACCAAAGAGATGGATCAAAGAATGGACACTGCTGAGAGTAAAAGAGCTTCTGAAAAACAACAATTATTACAATTGCAAGTGGAAGGATCCCTATATGTTTTAAGATTTCAAGGGGTACCGGGGGGGGGGAACATGAAAATTTAAGCAAAATCTTAAGTGAAGCATTGGGGCCCCCTTGATCAACAGCAAACCTGAATTATTGCAAGCAGACATAGACATGATTTATAGAACTTATTCAGAGTTTGTGAAGAAAAATAATCTTCCAGGAGAAATATTTGTTAAATTTGCAAAAAGATCAACAAGAGATACTTAAAGCCTCTACTGCTACAACATTAAAAATCCAAGAGGAAGAGATAAAAATACTGAAAGATGTTCCATTCGAAATATGTAAGAAGAGGAAGCAATGCAGAAACATCACAACATTCCTTCAAAAGAACAATGTCCAATACCGATGGATTTTACCAGAAGGTCTTATATTCAACTATAAAGAGAAGAAGGAAAAGATTGACTCTCTCTCTAAAGCAGAAGCATTCCTGAAGCAGCACCAAACTCCGACAAAAAAAAAAGAAAAGAAGCAGAGGAAAAGAAGGCGACAGAAGAAAATAGTGATCATCAGGCGTCAGCCACTGACAGTTCTTCATCTACTTCGGTGTCCCTGGTTGAAATCTTTGACTCTGACTTTGATTCTGTCTTGGGAGCTGCAGCGCCCAGATCTTATAAGGTTAAAATCCCCTGGCAGAAGAAGACAAAGAAGCGTAAAGACAAGAAGACATCCAAATGAAGATCTACGATTTCTCTGTGTCAGAAATTTAAAAATTTATAATATTGCTTAGATGCGATACTAAAATTATTTTTTTTGTTTTTTCTAATTGAATACTTGTTACTTAGTAATTGAATGGTTTATTGTAAACTTAATTATAATAGGGAAATACCCAAAGCGTAACACAGATAACATGATCATTATTGTACCTTGCTGCTTATATTTGCACCAACATACCTACGTGTAGCAATACAGGACTCACTTCTTACATCTGATGAAGTGGGCTGTTGTTCAGAAAAACTTCGTATCGCAATAAATCTTTAGTAAGTGAATCAGTAAGAAATCTATTTTGGTTTATCCTTGTACCTTAGCCTAGCACAAGAGCAGGAGCAAACTGGGTTATGTGGTGGTGCTGGGTGAGAACTACTAGGATCACGGGGACTGATTTTGCTGCCATTCTTTCTAAAAGATTGTCATGTGTCATATAACATGAAACTTAATGTCTACAGTAGCAAAGTAGAATTTACAAAGGGATACTAGATGCCCCACCAACAGAGCAAGAACCCACTGCCTGAACAGTGGTTAAAATGTAATTAAATCTGGAGGGGGGGGGAGTTCTAACCTCTGTTCTACATGTGTAACCACTAGAACAGGTTAGCTTTCGATTACCATGAACGTAAAGTGGAAGGAGCATCCTTTTACTAGTGTTTTAGATCATGGGGAAATGTTATTCCCCCCACCCCCGGCGCATGCTTCTGTTCATAATATTAACAACATTAGGGCTTCAGCTATATCATGCCTTTTCTTTAGCAAAGGTAATCTATTTGTCCCAGCTGCGCTAAAAGTTTTTGTAGGCAGAGTCATTTCCCAACTATTGTATGGGATTTCCAATTTGGATAAGGGCCTTTGATCGGACCAGGGAGCGGTGGCGCAGGTGGTAAGTGAAGCCTGCATTACATCTGGCCGAGCAGCTTTGGCTGTTCGAGCCCCACCGCGGCCGGAGTGAGCTCCCGGCCCTATGTCCCAGCTCCTGTCCACCCAGCAGCTCGAAAGCCCGTTAAAGGGCAAATAGACAAATTGGGTACCTGCTCTTAGAGTGGGGGGGCACCCGTCCCTTGTGGTGTAGCGGCGGCGGCATGAGCAAGCGGCGGCGGAGAAGCATGGCGGCGGCTGGCGAGTGAGAGGAGGCTGGGCCGACAGATGTGGAGGCAGGGCGGCGCAACAGGCCGGAGCCTGATGGACAGAGGCCGACAGCGAGCATGCGCAGACGTGCGCTCGGCCCAGACTCGAAGGTGTCGCAACAGCCAGGAAGTCGTAAATCAAGACCAGCGCCAGGAGGACGTCGCCCTCAGACAACAGGAAAAAACAACTCGCTACAAAGGGTGCCTGGTAGGTTAGTCACACACCCCCTTGTATGTGGCCCTAGGTCAGGATTTGTACTGATTAAATTTGTGAACTGCTCAGAGCCCTCAGGGGGTGAGCGGTATACAAATGGAAGGATAAATAAATAAAAATAAATAAATTGAATGTATGCATTCTGCACACAGCCCTTTGTTTAGAAACTGGTCAAAATTTAGTAGAAACCAAAGTGTAGCTCATGACAATTAAATCCTGGTTGCATTTGCATTATTGCATGGACACTGGAAGTTTTATTCAGCAAATGCTCACTGAGCCCAATATCTCTAACTGGTCAGCTTATATTGAGGAAGAAATGCTGGCCTTTGGCATTTCCCTAGATTCGCTGGCCATGCTCCCTTTCACGAGTGTGTACTTGTTAATCAAACACAGAATCCTCGACATTGAAGCTCAAAAGCTTTATAGTTTGGCTAACAAGTCTTGTTCCCCTCTCAGTTTTGAGGTTCCTCTTACTACAGGTCAGATGGTTTCTTATTTATCCCTTTTACAAGTCCTCCAAACTTGGAGAGCCTTCTCCCTGGCAAGATTCAATGCTATGCCATCATGGTAGATTTAATAAGACTGCATACTTAACTAGGACTTCTCTCTGTAATTCCAGCTGCGTCAAATCGATGTCACACATCCTCCTCCACTGCTACTTATATGCAGATTTGCATGCTAAACATTTAAACTTGTTTTTAGCTGGAATGTTGGGCCTTATATCCTGCTGGTTCTGCTGGTCTGTTTTTTCACACTGATCCTGTATGAGTAGTAACAGGATCAGTGTGAAAAAACAGACCAGCAGGATATAATGCCTACATAGAATCCACCTGCTAAGGCATTCAGCAATTATAGCCCATTGAAGAACATAGCTGTAAGCATAGCTTTATGATGAAGTGGTGTTTTTACAATTATTTAAAATATTAACATTTATGTATGTGGAGCGATGTAATTGTTATTAAATAACAATGAAAATGTATTGTAACAGCTATTGTACTTTTTAGAATCAACAGTATATTTTCAATATGTCACCAAGAGAAATTAATTGTTGAAAGACAGTTTATGTAAGGTTTCATACTATTTTTATTCTTATTCATATTATATATTTGCACACTGTTATATATAATTTTAAATGAGACTTGTATTGTTGTATTTGATAAGGTACACATCCTTGTTCAGAAGAAGATCATTGTCGAAACGACACACCATTCCAGAGACCACAGTCTACATTCACTATCTATATTACTTCTTTTCTGTTATTGTATATTATGATTTATGAATATAGTACCAAGCGCTAAATTGTCACAGTTCTTTTTTCTTTTTTCATTGGTTAAAAAAAATTAAGACAGCTCTTTGAAAAAGAGGGGATTTTGGGGGAAAATATGAAGAGAATTCTCAAACTTTAGGAAACGTTTAAGAGTAACTTTGTTTTTAAACATCAACATCCATCACATTTAAGTTTTCATAAAAATTTAACGTAGAGTCAAAGTTGTTTGAAAGTTTTTCCATGTTTGAAGTTATCATTATACCTGGTGATTCTAGTTTGACCTCAGGCATATTTTGTGAAAGGGATGTGAAAATTAGCTGCAATTAAAATACTAAAGTCAGCTAGAATGCAGCAGCTGAAAATAGGATCCCCCGTTTTTAAAAAATAAAAAAATCTGTATCCTATTAACAGAACAAAGAGAAGGAATGTGTAGCTAGCCAAAGAAGCCTGGGCCAGATTAATCTCTTATTTTGGCTCAACCTTGTCTCTCTCTCCCCACAGATGTATTTCTTCTTCTCTGACAAAGTGGTTCTTCTGTTTGACTTCTGGAATGTCCACAGCCCTGCAGGTAAGGAAAACAATCTTATCTTAAATTGTGTAAACTGATGGGTCCAACTAGAAATATCCCGAGTACAGCAAAGATTAGGTGTCACCTGAAACTTCCTTCAGACTTCTGAAACAATAAAAGGTCTCTCTGTTTAGTTTCCTTAAGTAACAGCCTCCTTGAGGACTTGAACTTCGCAAGACTTTTTCTTGCCAAGGACAAAAGATCAGAGAGTACAAAAAAGAACAAGATTCAAAGTGAACTTTACTTACAACAAGTAAACACCTAAGATTGTGTTCTTACTGCCCAGCCTTCCTTAGGACTTGGGTGTCCTGTGCAATTATATAGTGCACTAGACTCCACCCCCTAATCTGGTGGGCCAGTCAAGGATCAGAGGGATGGAACCATGGCTATATGACCTGTACTTTCTGGGCAATGTCCAGTTTAGCCAGTGATGGGCTCTCTTGCTTAATTTCTAACCGGGTGGAATGACTGTCCCCTGAGGCCAAGGACTTTGGGCTACTCACTGAACTTGTGTTGCTAACCCCGTCACACACACACCTCTATTTTGTAGGGATGGGTACATTGTGCTGAAACAAAAGTGTTGCTGGGATACACCTTCTGAAGTACATGGAAAGGTGTTTATCTTGTCCTTGAGTACAGCTTGTTCTTTCAAGTGGACTGCAGAATCACAGACATTTTCTTATCTTGCATTAAGGTCGGGCTCCTAAGGTGACCAAGGGGGAGCATGATTGAATTTTTAAATTATGGGTTGGATCCTATCAACTTTTTCACTTGAGTTCACCATTCCCCTCCCCTCTAACTTCAGTCCCTATCCTACCTGGATTTTGTCCACGTGAGTTCCACAGTTCCCAACATAACCTTTTTAGTCATCCAGAGGAGCCCCATCCTACATCTGTTACCAGCAGAAAAACTGGTAGGATGACAGGAGTGGGGGAAGGGGATTGATAGCCCCCCCCCTAACATTATCAGTTAACACAATTATCTTGATGGGGCAGTAGATTCATGACCCAAAATGTAGCGATGATGATTTCTACTTTAAACAGCTCGAAAAGTGGATTGGACCAATTCATAGAGGGAAAGGCCACCACTTTTAGGCCAAGAAAGCAACAAATTTTGTCTTCTTGTTTGGAAATGCTTCCTATTATACAGTATGGGGCTGGTGAGGAAGCTTCCTTTTGCTGTAGAGTTGCGTCAGATGCCTACAAGGCCAAAGGGCACGCAACTCTTGCCAGCAGGGGGAACCAGAGTGCAATGAGAGGGGAAAGCAGTTGCCCACGCAAGGGCTATCTTGGCTTTTTGCAGGATTTGACCAGCCAATTGATTGGCATACCCGCTGGGGTTGCCAGGTCACTCTGACCACTGGTGGGGCATTGGGGGGAATAGGCTAGGAAACACCTGGAGAGTTGGTGATGGAGCTTGAGGAGGACAGGGACCTAGATGGGGTACAATGCCACAGAGTCCACCTTTCTCTGATCTCTGTAGTTTGGAGATGAGATGTAGAAGAAGAAGAAGAAGAGATTGGATTTATACCCCACCCTTCACTTGGAGTCTCAGAGCGGCTTACAAACTCCTTTCCCTTCCCCTCCCCACAACAGACACCCTGTGAGGTGGGTGGGGCTGAGAGAACTCTGACACAAACTGCTCTTTTTCAAGGACAGCTGTGCCAGAGCTTGTGACTGACCCAAGGTCACATCAGCCGGTGCAAGTGAAGGACTGGGGACTCAAACCCGGTTCTCCCAGATTAGAGTCTGCACACTTAACCACTACACTAAACTGGCTCTCTACACCAAACTGGCTCTCCCTAGTTCCCACCTGGAGGCTGGCATCCAAGTGCCAGCCCGAGTTATATCGTGTGAAGATAAATAAGTGAAAAGGGTGTGTGCATGTGTATGTGCAACTGCATAGTGTAGACTGCATGCCTTTGGGACAAACAGATTTCTGTTTGTGTCAAACTGTACTCAGGTGAGGTGCCCAAGTGGCGGGAGATACATTATTAGGCCCAGGGCGGGAATTCAAGTAGAATTTTGAGAACAGACCAATGAGGGAGCAGCAAGTGCAAGGGAGCAGTTGGACTCAATCGACAGAGGAGGAAGCCAGGAGATCCAGCCTGGAAAGAATGGAAGGAAATTTGGTGCACCAGCTGAGAGTTTAGCTTGAAAGAGAAGGTAAACAGATGAGCAAAAGGCTGGCGCTGAGCGACACACTGAAGCCTTTGTCACACGGCTGCTCAGCTTACTGGTTTAACCTAGCTGGAGCCATTTCCCCTGTAGGCACCCTGGCCCGGATCCCAGAGATCTGTTAACAGTGGCACTTTCCTCTGGCTTAAGGAGCCTTCTGCTGACACAAGAGGCAGCCGCAGACAGTTCCTGGCACTGGTGAAAAACAATGTGTTAGGAGGACGGATCCACAGGAGTCAAACTCAGGTTGGGGGGTGGAGCCTGAAGAGGGGTGGGGTGGGGAAGGGAGGGACTTCAGTGGGGTATAATGCCTTAGAGCCATTTTCTCCAGGGCAATGGATCTCTCTCGCCTGGAGATCTCCAGCCACCACCTGGAGATTGAACCTTGTAAGGAAAAACAAACGTGATACGATAACAAAACCTTGTTAGAGAAAAATATATCTTCTTTAATTATCCAGTGAATAACAAATCATAAAGATGTTTTCTTTGAAGTAAATTGGTCTCAAGTTTTTCTTTCTCATAGTACAGCGCTCAATGGACTGTTTCACTTAAGGTTTCATCAGATGAGACCTTACATCTTTTGTATTTTTCCTACTCCCTCTTCCTTTCTAGCTTACATCATTTGGTTATGTAAGCTAGAAAAAATACAAAAGGTGTAAGGTCTCCTTTGATGAAACCTTGAGTGAAATGGTCCATTGAGCGCTGTATGTCAGAAAGAGAAACTTGAGACCAATTTATTTCAAAGAAAACACCTTTATGATTTGTTATTCACTGGATAATTAAAGAAGATACATTTTTCTCTAACAAGGTTTCGTTATCATATCACGGTTGTTTTTCCTTACAAAGTTCAGCCTGTCCCGTGATCTCTCATCCTTGGCACCACCGGGAGATTGGCAACCGTGAGAAAAGAACCAAAAAGGTTAATTACGAACCAATATAGGGCCAGTTACTAAAAACTATATGTATAACCTAAATATTGTCAAAATACATGTATTTATTATCAAATGGTTCAAAACATTTATGGGCCCAACTGTAGCCTCATTACAACATAAAAATATAATGTATGCAAAAGGGAATTGTTGTGACCTGATGCGTTTTGGCCCAAATCAGCCTTCTTCAAAGAGCAGACAACATGTGTACATAAAGGCTCATGATACGATAGTAAAACAATATACAAAAACGATGCACAAGTTTAACAAAATAGATTACACGAGGCAAAAGAATATTTGTGAGGCCTCCTAAGTCAAACCTTAGTGTTGAATGAAACGGGCAGGAGGCGGTGGGCTTTGCAAGAGATTAGCTCAGATGTTTGTGGGGGTTTGAGGGAGTGGAACAACACCAATCGCTTTATTTACAGCAGATGGCTAACTAAATTTCACGTGAGTCCTTGCCAAAGTTTACGGAGGTTCTGCCAGCCCCAGAGAGTACCAGTGATGGAGACGAGACTGGTGTTTTTCCAAAACAAATTGTCTTTTTACTGAGCAATATCGAAATCACATACATACAAAATCAGATTCACACACACAAGCAATCAAGTTTCCTTTAGAGTTACAGGAATAGAAAATAGTTTCTCATTTACTTAGGAAGAGGTTTAATATTTGCCTGTTCCTGAAGTCTTGTCTGTTGCAATGTAAAAATAGGTAAAGAATGATAGAATCTAGGGGTACTTCTAAATCACACTCTGCTAGAACCAGCTAGCAGGGCATGGACCTCTTTGGCTGCGCACACCAAAGGATCAACTAAAGACAAAGGGTTTTTGCAGGCTGGGCAGAAGGGGAGTTAAAGCAGGCGGGGGGGTAGTGGCTAGCAAAAGCCTTAACGCATGGTCTTCGCGTTTTATAGTGAAATCGTGGGGTGGGTGGCAACCTAGTCAAACTGAGATCCCACCTATCTGTAGTCCGTCCCATCCCTACTTCTTATTGGTGTGTATAGTGAGGGGCAGCACCTTTGAGGGTTGGGCCAATATTTGAAACTCTAGACTCTAACTCATGGAAAGCCATCTGGTCAGGTGTGAATTCTCAGCGTCATGATTCTCCTTGATGTGCAGATAGATACTGGCTTTCCATTGACTCTAGGCACGTCCACCAGGAAATGGCAATTCAGATGCAGATTAGCTCCCTGTAAAACATGACATCAAGTCTCTCAGCAATGGGGGAATACTTGTCCTTTTAAGCTGTATTCCCTGCTAACAATGGCGAAATGTGCTTCTTCTTCCCATAAGGCTTAGTAGCTGTGTGTGTGTCTGCAACCCTCTATGTGAAATCTCTCTCACAAAAGGCGATTCAAACAGCTTTACCTTTGAGCCTATGAGCAAATGTGTGCGTACAATCTATGTAGTGTTAGCATATATGCATAAATTCATGAACAGCAAATATTAGTCCATTTCTCAACAAAAGATTGCATGAGTTTGGAAGAGGACTTGGGGTCCAAGAAGTTTGAGGGATGCCGTCTTGGGCCTTCCTATCAATTGCAGAACCCACACCCATCTGGCAAGGGGAGCCAAAGTGGATGGGCACGGAATCTGGTTTGCCAGGTGTGCTTTCAGGATATAAAAGGATATATTGCTGGGCGTTTTTCTGCCACAGAAGCCGAGGGTAGGCCAGCTTCAATCTGGAGTAGGCTCTCGGAAGGAAATGAGTCAAGCAACGTAGATGCCGAAGTGATTCAAGGAGGCAATAGATTCAGGGACCTGGACATTTATAGTCTAAAGGAAGGATGCCCTTTCTCACACTAAACAGAGCAGAATCAGTGCTTGTGGAGCCAGCCCTGTCTGCTTCTGAATGCACATGTTGCTCCAGTGCAAACAAGACCTTGGAACGGTTATTGCCAGAGCAGTGTTTGTTAACCACAGACAGGCAGCTACAACCAATACCTGTTCCTGTCCCCACACCAACTAACAAAAACCGCCTTCGGCAGGCTCTCTGGGTATAGAATTAGTTAGGCAACAGAAAGCCAAGGATTATTTCTTGGTATCATGGGAGCTGGGTTGCCAACCTCCCGGTAGACAGGCAACCCAGGACCACAGTATAAAAGTTCAGAAACTAAACAGTCATTGTGAATAATGGCAACTATGCTTTATAATGAAATTGCAATACATATAGCCCTTACATGTTAAGCAGATAACAAAGATCTCGCAACAAATAATGGGATCCTGTAATGAAAACTAAGAAAAGCCCCAGCCTTGTAATGCTGCAGAACAACTTCTGTAATGAACCAAACAGCATCCAGATGTAAGCCCATTTCGTGGTTAATCTTCCTTGGAAGATATTCTTAGTAAGTCTTCTTCTTTAGCTAGTTCCCTGTTATTTATAATTCTGCATTTATATAGGAAGCGAGCCAGTGTTTTAGTCTTTTCATAATACGCTACAAAGCCTACTGTTCTAACATTAGCCAGCACAATGCTCTCTAATTGTACCAGCTAATGTTCGAACAGAAGGCTTTGTACCATATTATAAACAGTGATTGTTTAACCTCCAGGTAGAGGCAGGAGATCTCCTGGGATCACAACTGATCTCCAGGTGACAGAGAACAGCTCCCTTAGAGAAAATGGTTGCTTTGGAAAGTGGACTCTGTGGCATCAGGGCCGGCCTGTTATTGTTAAATTTTAGACTGTCGCCTAGGGCGACGGCTCGACGAGGGTGCCATTCTGGCCGGCCTCGTCCCCTCCTCGCCCCACACAGGAAACCTCCCTTGCCGGCTTCTTGCTCCGTCCCCGGCAAGAGACTCCCCTCTTTGCAGCCTCCCAAGACAGAAAGAGAAGGAGGCGGGGGGGAGAGGCGGGGGGGACAGCCCGGGACGAAGGGAAAGTGCTGCTCGCCTTCTGCCGCCCCTGCCCCCGTGGTCTCTTTGGAGCTCCTTTTGCATCCTGGCACAGGCCCCCTCCCCCTCCACTCGAGCGATCCCACCCCCGCATGCATTTGCCGTTCGCCCCCTCAGCCCGTCCGCTGCGGCTCCAGCGCCCACCCCTGTCCTGCCCTGCACGGGGGGGGGGGGCGCGCCAGAATGTATCCTCACCTAGTGGGCGTAAAAGCCTGGGGCTGTCACTGTGTGGCATTATACCTCACTGAAGTCCCTCCCTTCCATAAACCCTGCCCTCCCCAGACTCCACCCCTAAAATCTCCAGGAATTTCCCAACCCAGAGCTGGCAACCCTACATGGGAGACAGACAGTTATACCCCCACAATAAAAGACCATGGACATAAAGCTGTCTTAGACCAAATCAGGCCAATTGGTCCACATAGCTTAGTACTTTCTACTCTGTCAGGCAGCCATTTCCCCAGAATCTCAGGCAGAGAAAGATCTTTGCCAACACCTGCCAAGGATTGAACCTGGGAACTTCTGCCTGCAAAACATAAAGCTACAAACCCATGTAGGTATAACCAAAAATGTCATACCTGAAATTCTGGTGCATGCCGCTATGACCCCTTTGTATCGCTCGAATAAGGCAAAAATGTTCCCCAAGTAGAAATCAGGGAGCAGCACAAAATGGGAAGAAGCTGTGTAAATATACTATGTGGCGATTACGACATAAAGCTTTTCATTTTGGAATACTTTAGGGTGTTCTCAGTGTGGTAACTAAAAAGGCAGATCCCTTCCGGCTGGCTTAGAGGCTTAGGGCGGGCAGCAGGACAGGCACAGGGGCATCTTGACTCCAGACACACAGCCAATGAGAACATGCTGTGGCTCAGCATGAGCACCAACCAAATGCTGTCATTAGGGTTAGGCAGGGGGAAGCATGATAGTATGGGGTTGGTGACTGTGCAGTATCGCAAAGAACATTCATTGGTTGTGGCCAGAAATACAGTTCTGCTGGGGTGGCTTCATGTAGAGATGGTGTTCTTCAGGATGTTTGGATAGTAGCCGAACAGCTCCCGCCCTCCCCAAGCCAATTTTTTTGGGGGGCGACTTGTATCTGAAAAATGCCCACACGAAGAGGACACAGCCCACACATGAAGTTACGGCATACAGCTTGACTACTGCAGCTTACATTGTGTTCCATGAAGGTCACATCAGTTGATAGTAATCCTCTACAGGTTGAGACATAAGCACAGCTACAGCCGTTTAAAATGTTGCAAGGAACACTTCCGTCAAGTTTCACATTTACATCTCAAAAAAGGAGCAAGCCAGATGTAAAACTGGCACATGATTACCTGGACTAGATGCAGTGTAGCCACATGGACTGCAGGCTGAGTAGAAAATCAGCACCGATTTTGATTGGCGTGTTTTTAAAAGTTCATTTTATTTTATTTTTTAAAAACAATTTATTAGGATATATATACAAAAATCAAACACATATCAAAACTTACATTATTATACATCCTTTCTCCCTTTCCCCTCTCCCCTTTCAGGCTTCCCACAGTGCTCCAACCTCCAGCCCACATCTTAAGTTCCCTTCAAACCTCCTTCTGTTGTTTTCCACATCTATAGGTAACTTATCCTTCAGTTATAATTCTTATATATTTATCCTTTTTTCTACTAACCTTTAGTTTTCAATAGTTATCAAAGCAAATTGTCCTTTACATCCCAATATTTCTCTAAATATTCTTTAAAGTCTTTCCAGTCTGCAAAAAATTCTTCTGCCTCCATTTCAACCATAAAAAGTCATTTCTTTATCCATTCCCCTATGTCAGGGACCTTGTCTTGTCTCCAACACTGTGCATATGTCAGTCTGGCCGTTATGATCATATACCACATCAATGTCCTTTTTGCCATATTGACTTCTTCCATTTTTAGTCCCAAAAGTAAAATTTCCGGTTCTTTCTTAAACTTACATTTCACATTTTTTTCCATTTCTGCATGTATCTGTCCAAAACATTTTTGCTTTATCACATGTCCACCACATATGATAAAACGAGCCCTCTACCTTTTTACATTTCCAACATTTGTTTGACATATTACTATTCATATTTGCAATCTTTTTAGGCGTCATGTTTTAAAAGTTCATTTTAAACTACTAGACTAGAACTTCAGGTTGGCAAGACTGACACCACCCACCTCAGGCCCAAGACAACTCATGACGCTTCGATGGCTGCGCAGGGGTACAAGCCCAGGCCCCCTCACCCCCAGTCTACCACCCACCGAGAGTCAGCATGGTGTCGTGACTAGAGTGTTAGATTAGAATCTGTGAGACCCCAGGTTCAAACCCCCACACTGCTGTGGAAGCTTGCTGGGTGACCTCTGGCCAGTCACTCTCCGCCTAACCTACCTCACAGGGTTGTTGTGAGGAAGCAGTGGGGAGAACCATGTTGGATGCCACTTTGGATCCCCACTGCAGAGAAAGGCAGGGTTTAGCCCGCAAAGCTACAGTAGACCAGCTCTTGGCGCTGACCTGCAGCTCTTGCTCTCATTGCTTTCCAGGGATGGTGCTTTCGGTGCTGGTGATCATGCTGCTGGCAGTGTTGTACGAAGCCATCAAAGTGGGCAGGGCCAAGCTGCTCCAGCGCACGATGCCGGCCCTGGCCCACAGCCTCAGCCAGGAGACTTTACAAGAGCCAGAGAGGGCGTCCATGAACACAAGCACGGAGCAGCTAGCCAGCACCCCCCAAAAGTAAGAACAAAGAGGTGGAAGCAAAGAGATCATTCCTGGCTTCCTCGGCGGCATCTGATTATCCCTCTCTCAGTCAGAGGTTGCCTGTTGCATCTCTGCATGAGTCATGGCTTCCTTCCTTCTGAGAGCCAGTTTTGTGTAATGGTTAGAAGCGCGGACTCTAATCTGGGAGGACTGGGTTTGGGTCCTCAGTCCTCCACATGCAGCTGCTGGTGTGACCTTGGGTCATCACAAGTTCTCTCAGAGCTGTTCTCTCACGAGCAGTTCCCAAAAGAGGTCTCTCAGCCCCACCTACCTCACAGGGTTACTGTTTTGGGGAAAGGAGATTATAAGCCACTCTGAGACGCCCGAGTGAAGGGCAGGGTATAAATCCAATCTCCTCCTCCTCCTCCTTCCAGATAAGAGGGAGAGGGTTAACGTGCAGATCCAAAAGTAAAGCTTTAGGACTTCCGGTTTTGGCGAAAAGATAGCGGACGTGTCTCTCGGGCGCTCTTGAGGGCACGATCCGTAAACCAATGGATTGAGAGGGGGTGCAATTGTACGCACCCCCCAGGGGCCCCTGCAATGGACTCCTAGTCATGGGACGCCAAGGGTCGCCTCTCTGCCGGCGCGTTGCTAGGAGATTGAGGCGTCCTGATGCCCCAACAATCTCGCCGCTGTGTTCCCACTCTGGGACTAGTGACGCACACTGGGACAAGCGAGTGAAGGTCGAGCGCTATACACATTTGAAAAGCGAGATCTACTAGATTGACATTAAAAGTGAGTCTGGTTGAAACGAGCACCAGAGAACCCCCCCCCCCCGGAAATAAAACGGACTTTAAGCATGATTGTTTAAGGGGGACAGAATTAAAAGCGATATGGGACTATAGTAAGGAACTTACAAGAGATTTCCAAGCGTTTTGCATATGCTAGAGACTTTTGGCAAAATCGAATAAATGTAAACATCCTCAAAGATGTTGCACAAAAAGACAGAGAATGATAAGCTTCCGAAACCTAAGCCTCATTCAGGAAGTGCTAGCCCAGCGAGTGCGGTCATGTGACCGGACACAACCATAGACTTTTCAAAGATGCTGACAGAAGATTTGCGACCCCTGCTGGAGCAAATGACGATGCTCAACAAAAAATTTGCCACACAACAACAACAACTAAGCAAGACTGTAAAAAAAACAACAGAGCAAAGAGTAGAGAACTTGAAAGAAGTGGATGCCACTACTAAGAAGCTTAAAAAACAAATGCAAGAGGTGGAAAAAAAGAGAAACTCTGATGAAGTGCAATTATTACAACTTCAAATAGAAAAGGCAAGCTTTATTCTGAGATTTCAGGGGATTCCTGAGAATAAGGGGGAGAATCTCAAACAGACTTTTGGCTGATGCTTTGGGACCGGTAGCAGATTTAAAAGTGGAATTTCTTTTAAGCGAGATGGATGTGATCTAAAGGTCATATTCAGAATTTTAGTAGTTTTGCTTTACTTTCTCCCATAGATTGTAATTTCCCCACCCTGTTTTTCTCTTGTAGTTTTGAAAAATAAAAATATTGCAAAAAAACAAAAACAAAAGTAAAGCTTTACAGGAAGAGCAAAGTGGGCTTCAGACATACGACAAAGAGGCTGCAATATTTGTTCATGGAGAAAGCAGCACGGTCGTCTTTATTCTCTCTCTCTTTTAGTACACAGAAAGGAACCTGGTTGTGAGAGAAGTAGAACCTTCCCTGACCTGCCTCTGCAAGCAGCGGTACTTCCAGCAAAAATGACTCAGCAAGGCAGGCGGAGGAAAAGTTCATCTCCTCTCCCTCATAGGGGCCTGTATTGTATTAAACACTAGAAATTCACACACAGAGAGAACACTTTATGTGGGAACAGGGAGCATCTGAAGGACAACTTGGTGATCCAAGGAAGAAGAAGAAGAAGAGATTGGATTTATACTCCGCCCTTCACTACCCAAAGGTGTCTCAGAGGGGCTTACAAACTCCTTTCCCTTCCCCTCGCCACAACAGACACCCTGTGAGGTAGGTGGGGCTGAGAGAGCGCTGACAGAAACTGCTCTTTTTCAAGAACAGCTCTTATCAGAATTATGGCTTGCCCAAGGTCATCCAGCCAGGTGCAAGTGAAGGAGTGGGGAATCAAACCCGGTTCTCCCAGATTAGAGTCCGCGCACTTAACCACTGCACCAAACTGGCTGCTTTGTCCCAAACAGATCCTGCCAGACCAACCTCATTTCCTTCTTTGATCGAGTGACGAGCTTACTGGATTGTGGGAATGACTGGAGGACTGGACTCTAGGAAAGTTAGGTGGATAGGGAACTGGTTGGAGAACTGCACTCAAAGAGTAGAAGAAGAAGAGAAGAGATTGGATTTATACCCCGCCCTTCACTTAGAGTCTCAGAGCGGCTTACAAACTCCTTTCCCTTCCCCTCCCCACAACAGACACCCTGTGAGGTGGGTAGGGCTGAGAGAACTCTGACACAAACTGCTCTCTTTCAAGGACAGCTGTGCCAGAGCTTGTGACTGACCCAAGGTCACATCAGCAGGTGCAAGTGGAGGAGTGGGGAATCAATCCCGGTTCTCCCAGATTAGAGTCTGCACACTTAACCACTACACCAAACTGGCTCTCCATCTGAGTGGAGGGAGGTATCCAGTGGGGTGTCACAGGGCTCAGTTCTGGGCCTGGTACTTTAAATATTTTTGTAAATGATCTGGATGAGGGGGTGGAAGGTCATTAAATTTGCAGATGACACCAAACGGGGAGGAGTAGCAAACACCCTAGAAGATAGAATTCAATAAGATATGAACACTCTGGAAAAGTGAGCGGATGTGAAGCAATTCAGCAAGGATAATTGCTGAGTTCTACATCTGGGTAACAAAAATAGCAAGCATCCATACTGGATGGAGAACACACTTCTGGGGTAGCAGTGTGTGTGAACAAGATCTTGGGGTTAGAGGTGGACTGTAAGCTAAATATGAGCAGTCAGTGTGATGCAGCAGCAAAAAAGGCTAATGCATCTTTTGGGGTGTATCAACAACACCATAACATCCAAACCACAAGATGTCACAGTTCTGCTGTTCACTGTATTGGTCAGGCCACACCTAGAGTACTGTGTGCTATTCTGGAGGCCTCACTTCAAAAAGGATGTAGTAAGCAGTGAAGTGGCTAAATTTGCGAATTATACGAAGTTGTTCAGGGTGGTGAAAACCAGGGAAGATTGTGAGGCACTCCAAAGGGATGTGCCTCAAGGATGGGCGAGTGGGCGTCAACATGGCAAATGGGGTTCAGTGTGGCCAAGTGCAAGGTGATGCACATTGGAGCCAAAAATCCTAAATATAAATACACATTGATGGGGTCTGAACTGGCAGAGAGTGAACAAGAGAGAGATCTTGGAGTTGTAGTAGATAACTCGCTGAAAATGTCGAGACAGTGTGTGACTGCAATAAAGAAGGCCAATGCTATGCTGGGGATTATTTGGAAGGGTATTGAAAACAGATCAGCCAATATCATAATGCCCCTATATAAATCAATGGTGTGACCTCATTTGGAATACTGTGTGCAGTTCTGGTCACCACACCTTAAAAAGGATATTATAGCTTTGGAAAAAGTGCAGAAAAGGGCAACTCGAATGATAAAAGGGTTGGAACACTTTCCCTATGAGGAAAGGTTAAAGCGCTTAGGGCTCTTTAGCTTGGAGAAAAGACGACTGAGGGGTGACATGATCGAGGTTTTTAAGATTATGCATGGGAAAGAGCAGGTAGAGAAAGAGGTACTTTTCTCCCTTTCTCACAATACAGGAACTTGTGGGCACTCAATGAGCAGTTGGGTTAGAACAGATAAAAGGAAGTACTTCTTCACCCAAAGAGTGATTAACACTTGGAATTCACTGCCACAGGAAGTGGTGGCGGCTACATGCGTAGACGGCTTCAAAAGGGAATTAGATAAGCATATGGAGCAGAGGTCCATCAGTGGCTATAGATAGGGACTCTGGGGCAAGTGATGCTCTGTCTTCTTGGTGCTTGGGGGGGGGGTCAACAGTGGGAGGGCTTCTAAGGTCCTGGCCCCACTGGTGGACCTCCTGATGGCACCTGGTATTTTTGGCCACTGTGTGATACAGAGTGTTGGACTGGATGGGCCTTTGGCCTGATCCAACATTGGCGTCTCTTATGTTCTTATGTTGATGTGGATGGAATGGAAGGGGTGAAGAAGAGAAGAACAAAGATGATCAGGGGCCTGGAGACCAAGCCCTGTGAGGAAAGGCTGGGGGAATTGAGAGTGTTCAGTCTGGAGAAGAGGAGGTTGAGGGGGGACAGGATTGCTCTGTTTTAAGTATTTGGAAGGCATTCACTTAGAGGAGAGCAGGGAGCTGTTCCTGTTGGCAGCAGAGGAGAGGTCTCGCAATAATGGGGTTAATTTAAGGGCGGGAGGGTATCGGTTGGATCTTAGGAAAAATGTTTTGTCAGTCAGAGTCGTGCAACAGTGGAATCAGCTGCCCAGGGAGGTGGTGAGCTTCCCTTCACTGGCAGTCTTCAAGCAGTGGCTGGACAAACACTTGTCAGGGATGCTCTAGACTGATCCTGCACTGAGCAGGGGGTTGGACTGGATGGCCCCTTCTTACTCTGATTCCAGGGCAGATGCTTGGCAGACCTGCAGACCCAGACCCTTTCTGTGGTGTGGAACCCTTTCATGCACACTGAATCAAACTCCTGTTTGAAATAATCAGCCTCTTGAGCCATTGTGAAGTATTGCAACAACGTTTAATGGCTGCAATGATCAAGGGATAGCCTAGTCTCTTGGAACATCCATCCCTTGATAGCTCTTGCAGCATATTCAACCTGCCACCAGTGGGATAAAAATGCCCCATTGTGGTAGTCTATTAACGATCCCCATTAAAGCAACAATACAGGGCAGAAAAGGGTAGCTCTGCAAACAAGATTGAGCAGGCATCCTCCTCGCTTGGGGTTCTCAAATGAAAATGTGCATATTAGATGTTTATGACTTGATGCCTCCAACGTCAAGAAGTGGCTGGCATACTTTGGGCTGTCATGTACCCATTCCAAAGAGACAATGGTCCTTCAGTTATTAGAAACCAAGAAAAAACCCCAGCCATTTAAAATCAAGGCTACTTACAAACAGGGAGGGAAAAACTGCAGTGAATTTGCCTAGACAATCCTACAAAAAGTTTTCTTGTCTGGAGATACCTGCTGGTGGCCAGAGGGAACAGCTTGTCTGTGCTGGCAGGTATGCCCCCCTCTGGGCTCTTGCAGGGCTCAGGAGTCTTGCCCCCTTACTCTTGAAGGACACCAGTACTGAAATCAAAAATAGGAGGCTGCCAACTACAACATACAATACTTGACAGGAGACTTGTGATCCAGCCATGTGTGTGAACTGGCCATCACAGGTGAAACATCAGCTTCACCCTTAGGGTATTTAGACTTTGCTTTTCTCCTTAGTGGGGATCCAGAGGGGTTTATTCTAACAGCATTCTTAGGTTCTTCATTTTATCCTAGCAACCATGTCAGGGAGGTGAGGCTAAGTGACTGGCTCAGGGTCATCCAGCAAGCTACTGTGGTAGCATGGAGGTTCAAACCTGGGTCTCCCAGACTCCAGCCCAACACTGTAGCCACTGCTCTGCACTGGCCGCCACCTTCAGTGCTGTTCATTGTTCACCTGTGCTACTGCCAAGATGTCTGTTGTGTCTGTCCTTCCATTTTCATCTGCAAGCAGGTGTGAACAAAAACGGAGGCAACTTCTAATATTGGGTCCTCTTCCCCACCCCACCCCTTTTTTTGGAAAGGTTGTTCCTGTGGCACAGCACCCAGACCCTGCTCCACGTCATCCAAGTGGTCCTTGGTTACCTGGTGATGCTTGCTGTGATGTCTTACAATGCGTGGATCTTCTTGGGTGTGATTGTGGGCTCAGCCATCGGGTACTACATCGCCTACCCACTGCTCAACACAAGATAGCCTTGGTGGGCTCGACTCTGTATAGGAAGTTGAAACAGCCCAGATTCTGCTTCAGAAACTGATTGACACGGCTTGGCACCTGCCGAGAAGAAAGAGACGCTCCCCCCCCCCCCCCAGTTGTTTCTCCCACCCACCCACCACCCACCCGGTCTTCACCCCCAACGTCCATCTTCTGGCTACCAACAACGTCTGACCTTTTGAAATGGTATCTTTATTCCTCCTTTTACAGAGTGACTTAAATATATATTTTGAAAAGACCAAATGCTATATGGCCTCTATGGCCACCCTAAGACATTTTAGGGCCAGGAGAATGGTCATCTGTCAAGTCAGAAGAGGCCAGTGCTATTATGGCCACCTGGCAGGTCTCCAAATCTTCAGGGAACTGTACAGCCTTCTCCCTTGTTATTTTTACCTAAAGTTGGTGGGATTTGAATCCTGGGTCTTGACTGCTTACGAAGCACGTGGGCCTTTATTGGTTTGTGTTAGTTTTGCCCAGGGGTCATTCCTACAGGAGCCCACAGGAGCAGAGCTCCGGCGGTAAAGAGCCCAGGGGGCAGGCAGATGCAACAAGCCCCACCCCCTGCTCCCAGCAGCCCTCAGTCAGAGCAAGAAGCAGCCAGGTAAGTTGCAGAGCTTCCCCCGGCCCAAGACAGTCCAGTGGCACCTTTAAGACCAAGGTTTATTCAGGTACAAGCTCTCCCTCCTCTGCGAGGACAGATCTGCACGTTCCCCAATAGCTAGCAATCCAAAACAGTTCAGTGGAGCCTGAGCGGTGGGTGTTGCCTTCTGACACACTTCTGGTGATGTCAGGGGGTGTGGCATATGCAAATAAATTATGCTAATGAGCTCCTGCACCTCTTTTTCTACGAAATGACCCCTGGTTTTGCCTCTCCCAGTTTGCACTGGAGAAACGACGTGTGCCCCCAGCTTAGTTCGGTGGGGATAGAGTGGCAGTGTCTCGTTGCCTTGATTTGTGCCAGAATCCTGGAACTCAACTGGACAAGAGTCTGCAAAATATATGGGAAAGGGTAGGCCCTAAAGCAGGGCACGCGGGAGAGAATGAGGAAGGCGGCACTCAGCTAATTGCCCGATGCGGGTTGCAGTAGGGGCCAGGTGCTAATGGGGAAACTTCCAGCATTATGCAGATTCCCCGGCCATGCTCTGAGCTTTCCAAATGGTGTTTTAGGGAGCGTGGGGAAGCATTACACATTGCATGTTGGATGGGCAACATTATAAAGGGCCCGAAGCACTTCTCAACTCTTTAGTGGACGTTCTATATTCTTGTTCCCGGGGTGGAGTTCTTTCAGTTTGCCTGGAGAACGCATTATGGGAGGTGCTCTTTCTGAATATCACCTCCTGAGGCTCTTGTTCCAGGCCATTTTAGCCGTAACTGGAGTCACAGCGTTGATTGAGCTGCACGATCAGGCTGAACACTGACTCTGGCGTGGGGTTTTATTGGGGGGAAGGGGGTTGAACTGGAATTTCCCTATAGTTTGTGCCATGGTTCCGTTTCAGGGAGGGCAAAAAGCAGACAAGATGCATGGGGATGTGACGGCATTTTCCGGGCGGTTTTTAAAAAGCAAATTTTGGATTGGGACGTCAACCCAGAGAGTAGAGGCGCCAACCCTCCCACCCTAGTGTGTCTCTCTTATTGGAATATACCCCTCCTGCAAGTTATTTGCTGGGAGGGAGGCTGGTGTGCCCCCTCTGCCCACCTTTTTTACCTGCCAAGGCTAAGAGCACTGAGGCCCCTGACCTCCCCAGGCTCCACCCCCAAATTGCCAGGAGTTTCCCAACCAGGGTTGACCCTCCCCCCCCCCGGTGACCAGGGCAGACCAAAAACTACCATTTACAGTGTCATCAGAGCACAAAGACCTCAAAAGAGAAGACGACAGACTTGGCTGACATTAAATAAAGCTGGGTTTTATTATTAATATATAAGCACTTTTCTTTAAACATTTGGTATAACATTTGCAATAAACTATCTTGGAAGAGAGAAAAAAAGGCTTTGGTTCTCAACATTAAGGCACTTTTTACGGAGGTCGGAGCCCGCCTGAGCAATTCTTCCCCCCCCCCCCGCCCAGATCCCAAATCGTTTTCAACACAGAAGTTACGAGACATCAAGAAAGTTATCTGGAAGTTGGAATTCTACCGTAGTTTGAAGGGGAGGGGAGAGCAAGAAGGCGGCTGGGGCCACAGCCTGTCTCCTGTCTCACCGGAAGGTTCTAGAATGCTGCCACATGGATATACTTTTTAACCAAGCCTTCAGGTCTTGTTTCCGTGGATCATTTTCAGGCCTCCACCACCCCCCAACACTGCAGAAGGCAGGTGTCCTGTTCTCTGTGAAGTTTTCATGGGGTGGGTGGGCGGGCGGGAACTGGGCTGCAGCCCAAGTCATTCTGCAGCCATCCAAACACAGCTATTTCAGAAAGGACCACACATGTACATCTGTCCTTTGTTTCCCCCTTATGCCGAGCAGGGCACGGCAGACAACAGCAACCTCTTCAGCTGTCGGGGCTGAACCAACGGGCCCACTTGCCCGGCTCAGACCTCAGTTGTACATCTTCACACAAATCCCTCTCCCCACTCGGCCTCCAAACATGCAGATCCATTTGGGGCTGATCTAACCCCAACCCAAAAACACATGTAGAAAGCAGCAGCACATACCAGTGTTCTCTTACGGCTGGATTGGCCATTATCACCTCAGGGGCAAACATACGTTCCCTCTCTGGAATGCACCTGGGAGTTTTGCCCTATATTTGGATCCTGTTCAGGTGGCGATCTCCGAAGCCACTCTTCAGATGAGGTTCCCTGACTCAGGTTCCTCGTCTCCTTTCACCAGCTTGCTAACTAAAAAGCTCTGGAGCTGCCTCAAAACTCAAGAAGAGATGCAAAAAGCGATATATGCACCGTGTAACATAAAAGCAAGTCTTGAACATTTAATTGGGGGAGGGAACAACACCAGGTCAGAAGCTGGCCGCTACCCGGACGCCCCCTCCCCCCCCCCCACATGAGGAAAAAGGTGGATTAAACTCATTTCCAAACTTAGTGCTATTCAGCTTGTAGCCCTTCCGCCAAGGGGCTATCCATTCCACAGAACTGGTAGGAAAAAAGGAGGATCTATCATAGTCGCCCCTACCAATTTTTTTTTTTTTTGCATTTTCATCTCCTGCAGAGGCACAGAAGAAGAGAAGGGGGTGGTGCCATCCAAAATCTGGGACCATGTTGTGAGAATGAGGTTCTATCCCAAGGACATCAGCAAATATCTCTGAACTTATTCCTCCTTATCAAATATTACTGACGTTTTTAGGAGTAGATCTGTAGCATCCCCCAGGACACCTTCCAATGCAGGAAATGCATTATTCTCTTCCAAAATGAGCCTGCATCAGCAGCGCCGCAAGTGCACAAAGGCAAATAACAACCCTACAGTCCCCTCAGGCCAGAGTTTCATATTCAACGATTGCATAAACACACCCCTTGGGACATCTTCTTACTGGGCTGCTTCGAAAGTGACACTCCCCACTTCCCCCCGGAAAAAAACACTAGTGCATTAATAGAAAGGTTTGGATACACATCCTTTAAAAAACTGCAGACACCCTGCAGAGTTCCCAGCGAGACAAATAAGCATTGATGGAGTGGGGGGAAACCAACACCCAAGTGCTCCCCCTGAATGAACCAGCAGGTATCGTTTTGCGGCTTGTAAATATACGAGGATTTTTGGAGCACACTTGCTTCATCTGCAAACTTAGTCCAAGATGCTCGCCAGTAAAAAAAAAAGAGAGAGAGAAAGAAAGAAAAGAATCCATTCTGCAACCTCACCTCACCTTCCAACATCACATCCTGTCTTCGGCCTTCATTTACATCTTAAGCTGCTCCTTTCAACGTTCAGTTCTACTCATTCAACTTGCTAGGTTCCTTTCATCGGGGCTCTTGCTCAGTCCAGGGACTTTGGAAGGGGAGGCAGACCGGGCGCCCTGCTTGCCACCTCCAAGTTTCCCAAAACTGTCACAGAAAGCACCTGGGTTCTGTGGGGTATGAAACTGCAGCATCTGTGCTAACTTGGGGAAGGGCTGGGAGACGGGAGACAAAAGTTTCCCGTGTCCCTGGAATAGTTCGAGTGGGGAGTGCAGGGGGGGGGGGGAGTAGGCAAAAGACTTCTTTGCGTCAATCAGGTTTGCATCAAGACGAGCTAGCAAGGTGGAATTACACAGGACTGACTTATGGGACCAAGTCAGATTGATGCAGACATTAAATGCAGGCTGTGCAGACGGGTCCGGCTGCCACACTGCCCTGCTGCTCCAGGCATTCTTGAAGTCCAGGATCAAGCATCAGTAGTGGCGGGGGTGGGGGGATTCGAAGAATCCAATTAGTAGAAAAAAAGGTGCAAAGAAAGGGGAGCAGGAAAGCAATCTATACAGGGCTACGGAGGCCCGGAAGGGTCAGCAACAGCCTGGTCCCACGAGGCAGCTGGAGCACCTTGCAGCAAACGGGATCATTTTGGGGACTCCGTCCTCGCTTCCCCTCCCATAGGCGGCACCCCTCCAGAGGGCTCAACCCGCATCACAAAAGCGGGATGCGGCTGTACCAGCCGAGGCACTGCCTACCCTCGCCCTGCCCTCCCAGCCCCACCCCAACAGGGTCACCAACTCCAGTCTGCCTTTGGTGCTAACGTGACCGACAGAAATCCTCCGGCAGGAGGGGCCTGGCTTAGAACTCAGTCTGCACCCCCTCGCTGTCTTCCGCGGCCCCGGCACCAGTTGCCAAGGGAGGCTCCGCTTCCACCTCGCAGATCTGGGCCGACACCTTTTCCTCCCCCATCTCCTTGTCGCTGGGCTGATGGCAGTCCACCTGGACTTTGCCAGCGGGTGCTGGGGATAGTAGTTGGGCAGGAGAGGCCGGTGTGGTGGGGACGGCCTCCCTCTCCTCATCCTGCTGAGCACCAGGGAATTCTGCGGGGCGACCCTCTGCCGGCGCTTCCCCCTCGTTCTCCTTTGCGGCTTCTTTGCTCTCTTGGATGACGGTGCCGTTGCTCAGCTGCTCCTCCGCCTTCTCGCCAACCGGGACTGGAGCCTCCACCTGGAACTCCTTCACCAGCATCCCACGAAGCTCCTTCACGCTGCCAGGAGAGCCCGGCTCCGGAGAGCTAGGGGAGCGGCCCAGGTCTTCGGGCTCTGCCAATTCCGGGGATCCCTCCAGAGACGTGACGTCGTAAGGCAAGGCCCCTTCGTCAACGTGGATGACGGACACCACTTGCTTGGCCCGGCGCTGTTTCTCGTCTGAAGGGTCCGAGTCCGGTTGGCCGCCGTACTCCTCCCCCCAGTTGATGGGTGTCTCCTCACCCAGCAAATGCAGGTTGGGGTCACTGTTGTGCATCACAATGCTGTCGCGGTAAAGGTTATGTTTCCTCTGCACCGCTGCCTCCTTCACGGCTGCAATGATAAAAAAACAGACATATACAGGATTTCTTTTCATAGCCAGGCAATATGTCAACATCTGTCTAATGCTCGTGCGGTATTTGTAGGGTCCAGCTGAGAACCGTTCTCAAGCCTTAAATGCCGAGAGCATTCAGAGTAATTCAGACCTTTCACATAGATTGGGAGCTGGTATCGCATAACGACTAAGGGAATGGAGCCAGGAGCCAGGACATCGCCGGTTCAAACCTCGTATCTGCCACAAACCCATTTGTTTCCTCTGAGCAGGCTGTGTTCTCCAGTCCACAGCTCTCCTCCTTCCCCTCTGTAATTTGGGGATAACACTGACCTACTCTACAGGACTGTTTGTAAGGGTCGTTATAATAGATGGGAAGGATGTTGAACACTGAAAACCCTCAATGAATAGCAAGTGTCACTGAGGTCCTGTGGACAATCCTCTAAAATAGGTCATCATCACCATCCCCACAAGTTGGGGGTTGAAGAAGAAGAAGGAGAGGGGATTGGATTTATACCCCACCCGTCACTACCCGAAGGAGTCTCAGAGCAGCTTACATACTCCTTTCCCTTCCTCTCCCCACAATGGACACCCTGTGAGCAATGTTCCCTCTAAACTGAGTTAATGTGAGCGAGCTCATAATTTTTTTAGCCTCCAGCTCATACATTTTTATCTTAGCTCAGGAAGGATGGCACCAGGAGAGGAGGAGATTGGATTTATACCCTGCCCTTCACTACCCAGAGGAGTCTCAGAGCGGCTTACAAACTCCTTTCCCTTCCCCTCCCCACAACGGACACCCTGTGAGGTAGGTGGGGCTGAGAGAGCTCTTGACAGAAACTGCTCTATTTTTCAAGAACTGCTGTACCAGAACTGTGGCTTGCCCAAGGTCATCCAGCCAGGTGCAAGTGAAGGAGTGGGCAATCAAACCCGGTCCTCCCAGATTAGAGTCCGCACACTTAACCACTGCACCAAACTGGCAAACTAATTTATGCAGTAGTAACTGGCAACTAATTTATGCAGTAGCCAAACTGCTCGCTCACAACTTTCATGCCAGTAGCTCACAATGTAGAATTTTTGCTCACAAGACTCCACAGCTTACAGGGAGCATTGCCTGTGAGCAGGGGTCGTTTCGTAGAAAAATAGCTAGGGGAACTCATTAGCATACCGCATTAGCATATGCCACACCCCCTGACATCACCGGACATGTGTCATGAGGCCACACCCCCGACATCACCGGAAGTGTGTCATAAGGCCACACACCCCGCCCCCAACGGTCCCGGCCGCCGCTGCCGGCCTTGAAGCTCCACTGTCGAGCCCCATGAGGGGCCCGGCAGTGGACCTGCAAGACCGGCGGGAGTGCAAGGAAGCCCCACGAAGGCCTTCCCTGGCACCAGGCAGGCAGGGGTGGGGAGAGGCAGGGAGGAAGCAACTTACCCTCCCTCTTCTCCTGCCTCCTCCTGGCTGAATGAGGGCCGGAAGCGGGGCGGCCGGAAGCAGGGGCTTCATGTGCCCCGCCCCCCGTACCTCACCCGGGGGAACTGCAATCCCCCGCGTTCCCCCCTGAAATGACCTCTGCCTGTGAGATAGGTGGGGCTGAGAGAGCTCTTTTGAGAACTGCTCCTGAGAGAACAGCTCTCAAAAACCTTGTGACTGACCCAAGGTCACACCAGCAGCTGCATATGAAAGGGGGGGATCAAACCCAGTTCTCCAAGATTAGAGTCCGCACTCCTAACCACTACACCAAACTGGCTCTGAGTAAGTCAATTTCCTTCTCTTGCTGCCCCATCTTCTGCTCACCCACCCCCTCTGGGTAAGAGATGCTCAACTGCCCTCAATGGCTCCGAGGGTGTGACTCAATCCTCGATCCCGGTTCAGCCACAAACTGATTAGGCAACCTGCTCTCTAGTCCTGCCCTCCCTCCTGAGGAGATTATTAGGATGAAAACGGGAGAGTCCAATGAAATGCTGTTCTTGGAGAAAGAGCACATATTTATGACACATGTTTTTTGCTATCTTGTCCAGCCTGGGCCCGTGGCGGCATCCCAAAGATGCACCTCCCCCTTTACAGCTGCCGTGCAGCATCTGTCCTACACGCCATTCCCAGGAGGAGGAAGGCAGTCCCTGCCCTTACCCATCATGATGTCCTTCATGACCGACTGCAGCACCACCTCCTCGTATGTGTTTTCCACCAGTATGAACCGGGCAAAGTCTTCAAAGATCAGCTCCTGGAATTTTGGTAAATCCTGCCATGGGGAAAAACAACAACAGCATGCTGTCATTGTAAGGAAACAGCAGCACAGGACAGAGAACATAGGCTGTCTAGAAAATGAAGCCAGTAAACACAGTCGGCTCTCTCAGAGGAAGCAAAAAAACCCTTCAGATTTATACCGTCCTACCTTACAGGGTACTTGTAAAAACTAACGTGATGATGCACATGAAGCACTTTGAACACTGATAACCCTGCATAAATGCAGCTGCTTCAATGTTCCCTCTAAGCTGCGGAGTCTGGTGAGCAAAAATTCTACTTTGTGAGCTACTGCCATTAAAGTTGTGAGCAAGCGATTTGGCTACTGCATAAATTAGTCTGCTCTGGAGCCATCCTTCCCGAGCTGAGACAAAAATGTGTGAGCCGGAGGCTAAGAAACTCTGAGTTAGCTCACACTAACTCAGCTTAGAGGGAACACTGCTGCTAATATATTGACAAGTATCAGTTCTAACGATGAATTATTTGCAGGATCATACATACAACCCGGTTCTCCCTAGTGGTTCAGATACACCAATATCAACATTAATAACAAAACGAGTGTTACCGATATAAATAAATTCATTGTTAATGGAGATACGAATTGACATTATTGTTAAATGACTTCTTTTAGTATTACTTTTACACTTGCTGTGCTGCCAAATGCAACTCAAAACAGCCCTTAAGTAAGCCACGGTTCAAAAGCCTGTGTAGATCCGCATTAGTGAGTTCTAAACAAAAAGTGAAGCCAAATATGGACCTGGGAAGCTGGAAAGACTACAGGGATCGTCGTCACAAGAGCCCTTTGCAAGCTGAACTGCTCAGAAGCTTGCAAAATATACTTTGCTGTTGCTGAATCAAGGAAAGGGCAAGAGGCAGGTGGGGGGGGGAAGGGCCCATCAGAATCTTGGCTTCTGACCTTTCAACCCTCAAGAGCTAGAAGCTCAACTCTTTCCTTTCCATTTAAAACAAACGCAGGATTCTCAGTGTGCTGAATTCGTCACCCCATACAAAACCTCGCCCCATACAAAATCTCACACTTAACCACTACACCAGAGCCAGTCTTGTGTAGTGGTTAAGTGCGCGGACTTTAATCTGGGAGAACCGGGTTTGATTCCCCACTCCTCCACTTGCACCTGGCTGGATGGCCTTGGGCAAGCCGCAACTCTGATAAGAGCTGTCCTTTTTTTTTTGGTAAACAAATTTTTATTTTCTTAGGAACATAACATATAAGATTAAATCATTCAGTCCATTGTTTACCTCATTCCCTTCCTCCCCTCCCTCCAATGGCTTCCCGCAATGCTTCTCCCCCTTCTTACAAATTTCATTATATCATTAACACATCATTTGTTATCATCCAACCTCAAGATAACATCATTTGACTTAATATTGATCTAAACATATTAAGTTTTGTTTTACATCCCAGTTCTTTTCCAGATATATTTTAAAGTCATTCCATTCTTGAAAAAACACGTTGTCTTCTTGATTATTCAACTTCTTTGTAATTTTATCCATTTCTGCCATGAACAGAACTTTTTGTATCCAGTCTTCGATTTCTGGTACTTTCTCAGTCTTCCAAAATTGTGCATAAATCATCCTCGCTGTTGTAATAAGGTACCAGAATAAAGTCCTTTTAGTCGAGTTAACTTCTTCCATTTTTAGTCCCAAAAGCAGAATTTCAGGCGCTTTCTTGAAAGAGCACTTAAGTATTTTTTGCATTTCTTTGTGGACTTTTGTCCAAAAAAGTGTAGCTTTTTCACAAGTCTACCACATATGGTAAAATGAGCCCTCATGTTTTTTACATTTCCAACATTTATTTGACATATTCTGGTTCATATTTGCAATTTTCTTTGGGGTCATATACCACCTATACATCATTTTGTAACAATTCTCTCTAACATTGGTACAGGGTGATATCTTAATAGCATTTTTCCACAAATATTCCCAGGTTTCTATGTCAATTTCCTTATTCATATTTATTGCCCATTTTAACATTTGCTCTTTCACAGTCTCATCTTCTGTATACCATTTTAACAACACTTTATACATTTTAGAGATATCTTTTCCCCCTCCACTCTCCCATACCTTTTCCATTTCATTTTTTTCCTCTCTAAAACCATAATTTCTTTTGTCTGACCTAAAAAGGTCAGAGATCTGCATGTATTTCAACCATTCATATTCATATTCAATTTCATTCTGCTTTTTCATTACCCATTCTGTTCCCTCTTTTTTTATTATGTCTTTATACAGCAACCAATCTTTGTCTCTACGTCTTGAGTAAGATGTTAACACTTCCACTGGTACAATCCAAAGTGGCCTTACATCACCAAAATATTTTTTATATCTCATCCATACCACAAATAATGCTTTTCTTACCACATGATGCTTAAAAAAGCTATCCATTTTTGTTTTGTCATACCATAAATATGCATGCCAACCAAATCTACAATCATGACCTTCTAACCCCAATAGCTTATCATTTTCTAATTTCACCCATTGCTTCAACCAGGTCATACAAACCGCTTCATAATATAATCTGAGATTTGGTAGCTGTAGTCCACCTCTGTCCTTGGCATCACAAAGTATTTTCATCTTAATTCTCGGTTTCTTGCCTGCCCAAACAAACTTTGATAGTTCTTGTTGCCACCTTTGCAGCAAATCTGTCTTACTAAGTATTGGTATTGTTTGGAACAGGAACATCAAACGTGGTAGGACATTCATTTTTATAACTGAAATTCTTCCCATCAGTGACAAGTTCATTTTGTCCCATTTCTTAAAGTCTTGGGTTAACTTAGCCCATAGTTTTTCATAATTGTTCTTATATAAGTCTATATTCTTTGCAGTTAACTCAATGCCTAAGTATTTCGTCTTCTTTACCACTTCACATTGTACCAAATTTTGTAGTTCCACTTGTTTTTGTTTCGTCATATTTTTGCAAATAAGCTTCGTTTTATTCTTGTTTACATAAAATCCTGCCAATTCTCCAAAATCTTTTATTTTTTGAAATAGTAACGGTAACTCTTCCGTCGGGTTTTCCACAATAAACATTACGTCATCTGCAAAAGCACGGTATTTATATTTAAAACCTTTATGTGTCAAACCCTTAATCTCTTGATCTTGTTGTATTTTTTGTAAAAGTACCTCCAACACCCAAATGAACAATAGCGGTGACAAGGGACAACCCTGCCGAGTACCTTTCTGTACCTTGAAGCTATCGGTCAATTCTTTATTTACATTCAGTGTAGCTCTTTGTTCCGAATAGATAGCTTCAATACAATTTCTGAACTGTTGTCCCGTATCAATTTTTTCCATCATCTGTAACATAAACTTCCAATTAAGATTGTCAAATGCTTTTTCCGCATCCACAAACAAAAAAGTTACCTCTTTTTCAGGGTGCTTTTCATAGTATTCCACTGCGTCCATTACTATTCTTACATTATCTCGAATTTGTCTTTTTGGCAGAAAGCCCGCTTGATCTTCTGAAATCACTGTTTGTAAGTAGTTTTTCACTCTTTCTGCAATAATTTTTGCAAAGATCTTATAGTCATTATTTAGGAGAGAAATTGGCCTGTAGTTCTTTACATTCGTTAGTTCTTGGCCTTCCTTTGGTATCAATGAAATGATTGCCTCTTTCCATGAGTCTGGCACTTTCTTGCACATCCGTATGTCGTTGGATAAAGCTTCCAGGGCCGGGACAAGTTCCTCTTTCATTTTTTTATAAAACTTCGCGGTAAATCCGTCCGGCCCTGGCGCCTTCCCCAACTTCGCTTCTTCAATTGCCTTCCTCACTTCCTCTGTTTGGATTGGCCCATTTAGTAAATCTTTAAACTCTTTGCTTATTTTGGATAGTGGAATCTCTTCTAAATATCTTTCAATCTTCTCAAGATCAATTCTATTTGCTTGAAACAATTTAGCATAATACTTGAAGAAACTTCTCTTTATACCATTAGGGTCAACGAATTCTTTTCCTTCTTCTATAATTTTGGTTATCATTCTTCTTTCTTTTCTTGCTTTGAGTTGCCAAGCTAGATATTTCCCCGGTTTATTCGCCCCTTCAAAAGATTTCTGTTGTAACTTCTTTAAATTCCAATAAAGCTCTTGGTTCAAAAAATCATTCAGCTGTTCTTTCAGCAACTGTAGTTCTCTAATAATCTTCTTTTTCCCCGGTTTCTTCTTCAGTTCTTTTTCTTTTTGGGCTATTTGTTCCAATACTTCCACTTGCCTTTGAAGTTTTTCCTTCTTTTGCTTCACATTTTGTGAGATGAGAATCCCTCTCATCACAGCTTTGTAAGCGTCCCACACTACCTGTATTGAAGTCTCTTTATTCAGATTTTGTTGGAAATATTGTTTTGTTTCTTCTTTTAACATTTCCATAACACCTTTTTTATCCAACAAATCTTCATTTATTCTCCAAAGAAAGGATTTATTCCTTTCAGTAGAGGTCCACAAAACAGGGTTGTGATCCGAGTTACATCTAGGCAGGATTTCTATTTTTTGTGTTTTCATTGACAATTCTTCTGACATCCAAATCATATCAATTCTGGAAAAAGAGCAATGTCTATTGGAATAAAAAGTAAAATCTTTCTGCGTTGGGTTCCATTTCCTCCACACATCTTCTAGTTTTTCCTGTTTGACTAGTTCAAAAAAGTTCTTTGGCAATTTTCCACTAATTTCGTTGCCTTTTTGTGATTGTCTATCCAGCCGATCTATAGTTCCATTAAAGTCTCCGGCCAAAATAACTTGATCATAAGTTTGTCCTTGTAGGTGTTCAGTTAAGTCCTTAAAGAACTTTTCTTTTGCTCCATTGGGTGCGTATATATTGACCACCAGTGTCTTTTTCTGTTGAATCATCACTTCCACACCCACATATCTTCCTTCCAAATCTTTGAAAATTTCTTTAGGTTGTAAATCCTTTTTCACATATATCACCACACCTTTTTTCTTATTTAAGGCCGAGGAATAAAATTCTAATCCCAATTTAACATTTTTTAAATATTTGGCATCCAGTTTTCTAATATGAGTTTCTTGCAAGCATATCAAGTTACAATTTTGTTTTTGTATCCAATAATTGATTCTTTTCCTCTTGTTAGGTGAATTTAATCCATTCACGTTCCATGACAACAATTTGTAATCCATTGTAGATTCTTAATTTAAAGTTCTCCAAAGACGTCAGAATTGTCCGCCTTAAATTTATAAAAATCCGTCACCGACCTGATCTGGACTCTCCCACCTTTGTAAGTAAAGGATAAGCCTTGTGGAATTTCCCATCTGTACCTAATATTCAAAGTCCTCAGTTTATCCACCAAAGGCTTATACCTTTTTCTGTCTTGCAGTACTGCTCGGGGGAGTTCTCTCATCACCATAATCTTGTTTCCTTCCATTTCAAAAGGGACGGTGAATTGTTTCTTAAAAATATCTTCTGTAGTTGTTCTTGTTACAAATTGTACAATAACATCTCTTGGTAAATTTTTCTTTTCTGCAATTCTGGAGTTCACTCTGTATATCAAATCAAAATCAGAGTCCATTGTCCCTTCATCTTCTTCCAAATATGATGTTATTGCCTTCATCATTTCATCTCTTATATCTTCATTTTCCTTCTCTTTAATGCCCCTGAATCTCAGATGGGTTTGCATCCTTCTGAACTCCATCATTGTTTCTGATCTTCTAAATTGCTGAGTCAAAGAATCCTGTTTTTCTTCCACTTGTTGCATCTTCTCTTCCACTTCCGTAGTTTTGGTTGCATTAGCCTGAATCTCCTTTTTGACTCCTTCTATTTCTTGCTTGATTGAAGTTATCTCAGTAGTGACCAAATCTTTAATTGCCGCTATGTTCTTCTCCTGAACCTCTTCAAGTTGTTTCAGATGAATCTGAGTCTGCTTTGCCATTTGTGCCTCCAGTTGCTTTTCAATCTGTTCCCCCATCCTTTTTTCACTTTGTTCTCCCATAGCTTGTATTGCTTCCAGCATCCTTTTCTCCATTGCCTCCATGGCAGCATACATCTCTTTCTTATCCTTCTCCCTCTCTTTTGACATCTTGGGGGTTGGTGTCAGCCTAGTTGGTGTTGAATTAGTTCTTGGTCTCACTTTTGGCTTAACGTCAGGATCAGAGTCAGCTCTTTTCGGTCCTCTTCTGGTCTCCGTTTTGGTGCTTTTCCTGCGGTGCGCAAATTCACAAACAAACAGTCTCTTCTAAAGGGTAGCCTTCAATCAGCCATTCCCTTCTATTTTCGCTTTTAAAAACCCTCTAAAAGAAGTTTAAAGTCAAATTTAAAGTCAGGTCCTCCTCAAAATGTCGGGCGCAACTTCTCTATGGTATTCGGGTATAGAGTAGGTCAGGTTACCGTATTCCAGGTCCCGTCTGTTCGTATACACTCACTTCCGGTTCTGCTCTCTTGTAGCTCCGAGTCTCTTCCTGTTGGCTTCCTGTTGGCTTCAGCCCTTCTTTCAGGGCTTCCTCTTCCTGTTCCAGCACCTCGGAGTATTTTTTTCGTTACACCGGCCTGCTCCTCCCGCGATACAGTTCGTCAGTTTCGGTTTTCGGCTGCGCACATATCTCAATTCCCACCGCAGGAATGTTAAACAATGTTCTTTTTTACTGTTTTAAAGCCTTCAATCAACTATTTTCTTTGCCGGAATCGGATTTCTGGGAATGTTTGGTCATTTCCCGCTCAACCGCTTGTTTCAATTTTTATCTTATCACAGTTCAGGTAAGCGGCACGTTTATTGTTATCTAGCACGATCAAATCGGGTTTCGCATTGCTTCTTTTCACTTACTGTTAAACTTCCCAAACTGTCAAAAGCGGCCGTCGCTCACTTCGCACAATCGCGAAAGTGTGTCAGTCCTCCATCTTAGCCCGACCGGAAGCCCTGATAAGAGCTGTTCTTGAAAAAGAGCAGTTTCTGTCAGGAGCTCTCTCGGCCCCACCTGCCTCACAGGGTGTCTGTTGTGGGGA